TGATGTCATTGCGGGGCCGGCGGGGAAGTGCTGGGAAACTCGGAGCCTTTGACTAGCAGGGCCTGGGGGCTCGGTAGAGGGACAGCCTGTCGCCCTCCCTCCTGGGGAATTACCCCTCTCCAGCCAGCCCCTGTGCCTGGTGGGCTCTGGGCACAGATTTGGGCATCCTGCTGGCTCTGGCGCCCAGCCCCAAACTGCGGGGGTCCCTGCGGGGTCTGCCCTGCGTGGGGACAGCCTCTGCCAGGGGCAGTGGTTTCGGTGCAGCCACAGAGAGGGGTGGTTTAAGGCCCGCCCAGAGTGTCCTGACCCCCTTGCTGCTTTGGTGGTGCAATCTAGGGTGGCCTCACGCTTCTCTGGTCCTTACTGGGTGGCTACTAGGGCATCCTGCCTCCATCCCAGGGTCCTCTCTGCAGGGGCAAAGGAGGTGTCTGGGGAGGGGGGCAATGGCCGCTGCATCATTTACAGTTCCAAATAGGGGTGCTCTGCCCCTGGGGGTGAGGACAGCCTGCATGTTGTGTCCCCCCCCCAGCAGCTGAGAGCAGGCATTGCGGGTCCTACGTAGGAGCGGGCTCCCCAGACCCCAGCAGGGAGAAGGGTGGGCTCCCATGCACGTGCTGGGGGGCGGCGGGTGGGAAAATGGCACTGACCAGGTGTCATGCCAGCACGCTCTGCTCAGGGTGGGGGGGCCATGCCCCACAGCAGAGGGTGTCCAGCAGTACCCCCAGCCCCTCTCCCCCTGCTCCCCAGGCCGAAACCTGAGCAGGGGCTCTGCTGCCCGCTGGAGGGGAGCCAGCCCAGGCCAGGCAAGAGAGCGAAGCGCGGGGCTTTTATTACCCCGAGTGACCTCATTTCCCGATGTTCCCCTTTCCTTGCTGTTAATTGTGGCCAGGCTGCGAAAGAACGCTGGACCCGTCTTCTCAGCCAAATGGGCACCACTTCAACCTTTGGGCTGTCTTTCCGATTTCCTTTAATGAGGTGAAATCCTTCAGGCATGAGCGGCAGCAGCTGGTGGCTGCTGCAACGCAGGGTTCCCGGTCCCTGCCCCAGGGGGTTCCCTGTCCTGCTGGGAAGGTGCCCTCAGCCCCTCTGCTCTACCAAAGCTTGGTGCCCACCGTGTGCTTGCAAGGGATCAGCCACCAGCACCGGTCCCTGGCATGCAAGGAGGTATCCGGTGGGTGGAGGTGTGGGTGGTTGCCATGAAGGGTGTACCCCACTAACGCTGCCCTGGGGTCCCCCTGCTCTGCCCACACGCCCTGCATCCCCTAGCCCCTGCCTTCTTGAGCACTGAGTCCCAGATTTGCAGGGTGGCAGCAAGGTCAGGCAGAGGCGCCCCTGCTGTCTCTTGGGGGGGTTCCCACAGTGGAAGGGGCTGAGGTTGACCCTGAGAAAGGAGGGAGGGCAAAGCGTCCTACCCAGTGCTGGGCTGGCCAACCTGACCTGCCCTGTCCCCCAAAAGGCGGCCGTTCTGGCTCACCCCGTAACAACCTCCTGCATCTCTTCCAGGGCAAATATGAAGAAAGATTTCTGAAAGATGAAACCATCTCCCAGCAGATCAACTCTGTTGAGTCCTTCCCAGAGCTGCACCTCTCTCCAGAGGATGAGAAGCCCAAGCAGCTTTTGCAGAGGAAGCTGCACGTAAGGAGCCGGCCTCCTTCCAAGCCCACCATTGTCCGAGGGGTCACGTACTACAAAGCCCAGTCCACTGAGTCAGAGAACGACATCGAGGAGCAACGTGAGTTGGGTTTGCAGTCACGTCCAGCAGGATGGCTGGCTGTGTCCCGTAACAAAGCCAGCGTCCGTCCCCCAGTCCTGCCTTGTCCCTTGGGAATGGGTGGGCAAAGCGTGTGGGGCCACCGTGGAGAGGAGGGAGGCAGGAGGAGGTGGGATGGTTGGTACCTCACTGCTGTGCAGCCTCCGAGCCCTGCTTGGGGGAGCAGCGTGGTGCTGTTATTTCATGGAAAATCTCTGGTACTTAAGGAAAGGGGTCACTGCTTTGGTTTAAAACACCCAGCATCAGCACCTTCCCAGAAAGTAAATGCAAGTTTATTACATATGTTAGCCCTGCAGATCCGCCTGCCCCATGACATCCTGGAAGGTTTGTGCAGTGGTCAGGGTGGCAGGAGTGGCTCAGAGCTGTGGCTGGCTGCCCTGCAGCTCAGCAAGC